TATATATATTCTACTGTAAGAGACACTGGCAATAAAATTGTGCTTATTGTACCTTTTATTTTGTATTAATCCACTTTGAAGTTGTCATAGAGATCAGTCGGGAACTTCTTTCCTACAGTGCAGTGCATGACAGCATTTTTGCAATATATTTTTAGGGTAATGCAACATAGCACATATTAACTTGCATTCAAAATGCCTGTTGTACAAAAATGTATGCAAAAGAACGTCTATAACATGCATTTAAAAAGTAAAAATAGTGCAATTACTCTTCATAACGCAAAGTGTGCATCCAGCCTGACTGAGCTGCTGATTAAAGAGGTTGAATATCTTCTAGCTTTCAGTAGAATAGCCTACATTTGTAAAGCACTGCGCATCATTGTTCTTTTCAGTAAAAGAAGGTCAATGGCTCCTAGTAACGTAGGATGTCTTATGTTGTGCTATACAAATGGCAGTTTTCACAATAGTTTGAACGCTGCCTTTTATACTCTGCATGTGTCAGCCGCCACCACCACTAACAACTGTGTTTTATCCTTGCAGGGCCCCACCTATAATTGGCTACTTACCCTTCGAAGTGCTGGGCACTTCAGGTTATGATTACTATCATGCAGATGACCTGGAGCTGTTAGCGAGGTGCCATGTTCACTGTGAGTTGCATTTCCCTACTCATAATAAAAACATTGATCTACTTTTAATGTGTGTATATTTAAAAGCCTTGGCTTATTTCACAGTACGTGAAGGTCCTTTTTTGTTTCTGTAACATGGTTCTGCTTTATATTGGCTTTCTAAAGAGTTGCAATTATATATCAGGTGCAGTTTATTGCTAGGACACCACACCAAAGGCATCATAACCCTGTTTTGCTAGGCTTCATTTAACACTGCATTTATTGTGTCTGGGATTCGGATACAGGTCTAGAAAAGCTTGTGAGTGTGAACAAACGGTAAGGGTGCTACCCAGGACTGGATTTCTGCCTAGCCAAGACTGACCATTGGCTAGGGCAGCAAGGCCTCTTTGTATTTGATTGTCAACTTGTTAACACAATACTAACGGTAGGCATAGACAGAACTGGCAAACACTTGACTTCACTAAATATAAGTTCTATGAGGGTAAGGGGGAGGCATTTGAGCCCTACTGACCATCAATGCTTAGGAAAGGAGGGAAAACGCTTTCTTACTGTCACTGACCACCATCGCTTGGGGCAGGGGAGGCTTCTTAGTGACACCATAGGCAGTTTAGCATTAAACATTGAAAATTAAATCTGCTTGACGTGTGAATCTAGGTATAAACCAGGTTTGCATTTGTATTTGAATTTGACTACCTCATATGTGCCCTAATTCCATGAAGGGTGTTTGTTCTTGTGTGCTATTTAAGTGCAGTAACCCATAACAACCAATCAGAATCCACCCTGAACTGATCAGACTGCACTTTTAGCACTTAAGTATAAAAAGTCTTTATGGGATGATACCACAAGTGTAATACCACATGGTTCCTGTAGTGTCTATTGGAGCATATGGGATAAGAAAATGTATCTCTCCCCATCGAATAACAGTAAAGGCCCTTTTACTATAACCAATGCCATAGGTTCATAAGTCCTTGTGACTGCTGGTTTAAGCACGTACTATGAGACATATAATATATTTATACAGCAAACAGGGGAACATTGGGAGTTACGCCAAAACACTGCTGATATATAATAAACCAATCTCCAGGGTTTCAACAAACCTTATCAAAAATCGGATTGTCCCCTAATTAAAGAAATCCCTTTCTCTGAGCTGGTTCAGTAAACAGGTATGTAATTTAATCAAAAAAATGAATATTTAATCATAAAGAAACGAATATGAACAAAACAATACATCCACAACAAGACATTAAAATCAATTAAAAAACTTCCCTTGAACAAACAGTAGTTAAAGTAACACGAAGGATCTACAAGCCAGCTGATGTGGCAAAGACCTGATTAAAGCAGATACATGCACTGTATTTCATATACGGATACAAAGTATCCAAAGTTACTCACAGCTCATACGGCTTAGGGAGAGACAGTCCTGCTCGGATCCCACAGTGCTGGATGGTTGGATAATATTTCACTTCAATTAATGTGTCTGGTGGCTGTGGTTTAGGATCCGGAGAGAGGGGTATGTTGGTAGGGCTGAAACGATGTAAGCGCCCTTCCTTCTCCCCTTACTTGGGACTCTCACTAACCCGCGGACTTTGATTTCAGATTGCAAAATATATGTGCGGCCGCACAGTAAACTAGAAAGGGATTTCTTTAATTAGGGGACAATCCGATTTTTGATTTAATATATTTACTGTGCAACTAGTCTACCATAAAAATAAGTGTGTTTGCCCAACTTCTGCTCTACCAGATTTCCAACATTGTTTCTCTCAGACCCTCGTATTTGCTTTCTGGTTATACCTACACTTACTTTCAGTAAATATTCCCAAAAGGTATTGAATCATATTCTCACATTCTCATTGTGGCTTGCTTATCAATTTCAGCTTCTTGAATGGCCCATACTCGTCCTACACTCCCCATGTTTAAAAAAAACTAAGAGGTTCCAAGGCTTGAGAGGCTTACAGCAGAATTACATGTATTACATTTTTAATAAAACTTTTGAATCTGTTTCCAAATTCTTTCAGCCTCCCCCATTGTACCTGAGGGTTTAGCCTGTAATACTACTCTACTCTAGTACCCTACCCTTTGACATAAGACCTAATGTAGATTGGTTGAGACTTCCTGGTCTCAACCTAAACAGCACAAGGGTTTAAAATAAAATGTACTAATAGTTCAGAGTTTGCATTGGACCTGTTTTTTGTACCCTTCCCTTCTTCCTCCCCATTACCCTTCTCTCTGTTTTTTTTTTAATGAAGTCATAATTTGTTTTCCTGAAACATAAGTAGTCTCTAGATGATGTATCATGTGTAGCCATACATGGCCAGGACCCAAAACAATGGAGTCCTATCCTATGGCATCTCTTTCATTTTCTCCTGTGCATACAGAGCAATTCTATTTCATCCTGCGACTGAGTTAGATCATCAGATAGCACCTCATGTACAGGAAATAAGGATGTCCAACATGCAATATGAAGACATCATTATCATCATATCTCAGCTCACTGAAGTACAGAGCAGCACAGGATTGTTCAGAGCAGCACATGATTGTTCAGAGCAGCACAGGATTGTTGGCATCTTTGACAGTGAGAGCTATCCTGTGGGAAGGATAATGTCACAACACAATGTCAGATTTATCTCAGGCTGCATCTTCGTACAGCATGAGACAGTGTTCTCCAGATCTGCCAATATCTCCTAGCATTGGAGGAAAAGCAGGTGGGCTTCATAAATAATTAAGCAGCATTTAAAGATGTTTTGCTCCACATATATTTGAACTCTGTCTAACACCAAAATGGTATTTTCCTCATACTTGTTTGTCTGGAGCTTAACTCCAGACAAATATAAAAAAATAAAAAAAATCTACAATAGTAGATCAAGAAGTCCAGTTTTTTCCGGACCCCTTTGTGTAGTTCATGGGTTTTCTGGAGCTAATGAGTACAATTTATAGATTTTAATTGTGATAAAATTAATTGATAAAGGAGCATGCCCTACATCAATGAAGCACAGGTTTGCTTTAACTATAAATAATAGAACTCATAATAAAATAATGATAGGGCCCATGGTTCAAAATCACACTACTGAGAGCTATGACAGTTAAAATTATAAACATTGCAGCATGCTGACTGCTTTCATATCATACCATAGTTTTTCTTTATCATATCTAAAAAAAAAAAAAATAACCCTGAATTAGATGTATGATCAATTTTCTAATTATGTGACATTTATCTAGAGAAAAATAATTATTCAGTCAGATACAAGGCCCCCTCTACTGTTGGAATCCATACTGGTTGGCTTCATCGGCTATGGGCCATTAACTGTAGATAGCTCAGTCAGGTCTGTATTACAACCCACTGTCCTCCATGCAGCCTATATGGTTTATTATATTGTTGGTGTTGCTTGGTCACTGTCCTCTTAAATATCTGACCCTTATTATTTTGTTTTCTTTTATAAAAATGTAGTAATGCAATATGGAAAAGGAACATCCTGTTACTACAGGTTTTTAACCAAAGGCCAACAGTGGATCTGGCTACAGACACACTACTACATCACTTACCACCAGTGGAATTCCAAGCCAGAGTTCATTGTTTGCACACACACCGTTGTTAGGTAAGTAATGATTATTATGTTCCGTGTTTGATGGTTCAGTATTAAATATTAGCTTAGCAGTGCAGTTGTGCGCCAATGCCAAATACAACATATTGCCAGAATTTTGCAGCTGTTTGGCACTGTGCTGCGCTTATTATTGAGTTTAGGAATAATGTGATTTTTTTTGGAGGCATGTGATAAAAATGTAAGATTTAAACTGCTGCTTTGCACATATTTTCTGTGTTTATCTGACCCTTTATTAGTTCACATATTTAACTTTACTGTCAAACATAAAACAGTATAAAATGTATAGTAACATCTGTTATTGTCATCAACTAATTGCTAACATTGCCATTAGGCTACAACTGAATGTCTATATGCTGTTTTAGTAATGTAGTCAAACTTGTGTATCTCTGATAGTCTGTCTGCAGTAAATGGTGCCCTCTTCTGGCTCCGCTTAGTTTATTTTCAGTGCACATCACATATTTAGCTTCTGCTGTATTGCAACTTTATCGATCATTGTTGATGTATAAGTCCCGAGAGAAATATGGGGTGTGTAAATGCTGACCTGCTTCTGAAAATGCTAGATGCCCAGCTGCCTGATACAGTGACTTCAATTTCTGTGTCATTGACCTGGAACAAGTCCTTACCAGCCTACTTGTTCCAGGTACGGTATTAAAACCAGAGGAGCAGCACAACAGCCAGGCAACTAGCAGCTTCAAAAGGAAGTGTCAACAATTGCGGTTTCCAAGTTCCTCTTATGACAGGTTTCCTTTACCCAATATAAAACTGACATTTCAGTTTACAGCTTGTCTGCAGGTTTCCTTTTAGTAATAATATTTTAAAGTAATAATTTCAATTTAGTTGTGTATTAGCTTTAAACGTTTTTGTGCGGTATCATGTCTGAAAAAATAGGTTTTCACTATACGACTTTGACTCAGAATAATATACAAATCCTGCAATGCCAGCGATCAAAAATGTAGGGGGTGGGGGATGATTTAAAACCTTTTATTTTATTTTAATGAAAGCAGAGAACTCATTTGCATGTATTTGCTAGTGGAAGCCATGCGCAAGTGTTTCCAAATGTATGCAAATGAGACCTCTGCTTTTATTAGAGTTTTAGAAATAGGTTTAAACTATGTGCTAGCTAGTAGGGTTAAGTAATGGGACATTTTGTACCATGTACTTTACTGTGAATTGACGCTCGCACCTGCACCTTCCTTTGCTAATGGTACATTGGTTGAGAATTGCTTCCAAACAGCAGCAATCTTGCAGAAGGTTAAATAAAAAAAAATGTTAATTCATTAAAAGCACATAGCATGCATAAAGACAGATGTGTTTTAGCAAGCATAAGCTATCTTCCATTTTCGGGATATTCTTGTGCTGGATACATACTGCTGTAGCTTCTTGAACGGGGTAAATGTTCAGGGGTTTATGTGCTGGTGCTAGGTAAATTTATTAAATTGCCATGTTCCCATTATGACTTGGAACATAAGCACAAATACACATGAGTAAATAAATCTAATATATGATAACCCATTTTATTTGGGGCTTTAAATGGGCCATGTTAGTTGCAGTATATTTATTGAATGCCATTCATTTGTCCAACGCATTTTATAACACAGTGAATCACTGAGTTCCATCTGCCATTACTCATAATCATAATAATAATACAGCTATGTATGTTATAAAATTGAAGGTGGTTTTCAAAGAACTGGCCAGCTTATGCATTGCTCTACGTGATGTAATATGTTGACCTGACCTTCACATCCACAGTTCTACATGCAGCACTATGTGCTGGTAAAATTAGTATTAAAGTCATACAAGATGATGAGTGTAATGATGTATATTTAAAGAGACCCTGTAACCAAAAAATTCAGATAAAAGCACCGTGGGGGGAATTCATTAAAAAAACTGGAGCAGACAAAATCTGGAGCAGTTGCCCATGGCAACCAATCAGCTGGTCTCTTTCATTTTCAAAGCTTACCTGAACAAACTGAAGAGAGAAGCCGAAATGTTGCCATAAGAAAACTGTCTGCTTCATGTTTTATGAATTCCCCCAGTGTGTTTCCTTTCCATAAATGTTCTTTTTTTTATTATTCACGTGTATGTGCTTTTAAACTTGGTATTTAATGTGGCTACTCCTTAAGAGTCAATTACCTTCTTCCTCCTTGCACATCATAGCCCAGTTACATATTGCGTGTGCTGGCCCTGCATTCTATAGAATGTCATTTGAGTTGACAGTTCTGAGTCAACTCAAATGACATTTAATATGGTGGTGCCCAGCAGAAGATGGGCTTTTGTGTGTACACAAGGGAGACTTTTACAGGTAAACAACATTCTTAAAACACATTAGAACTTAAGGGAAGTTTTGTAGTGAAATTAATGGTCTGTCATCAGGTTCTCTTTAAAAAGGTGGACTTTAGTCCTTCAAGTAGATAGAAACAATAGAAATATGTATCTGCACTAACAAAACACAGTTAAAATGCTCATTCAAGTGTTCAGTGCAGTGGGACCAATCTGTCAAAAAGAGAGGTGTTGGCCATTATAACTATTCATGCGTTCCTGTGTGCATGTGATATCATATCACAGTCAATATATCATATTACAGTTATGCTGAAGTTCGAGCAGAGAGGAGGAGAGACCTTGGGCTTGAGGAATCAGCTTTAGAACTGGCAGACCCATCATTAAAGGTATGTGACATCATTAAATGCAAAGGGAAAATGTTTATGGTGCACAGGATCAGTGCTTTTAGAATAAACTGTCCTAACTCTTTCATCATGCAAACCATAGTAATTAACTTCTAAATTCATTTTAGATAGAAGTATCCCTTTTGTTATCAATCAGATACATTTGGGGCTTTCAGCACTGTTATCATTTGGGCTAGGAAGGATGTTCATCACTAGAGAGGATTATGATATAAGAGAGGTAAGTATGAAACCAAGGGGTTAGATTCACTTAAGGTAGTGTTGGGGTTACAGGCAGGTTTTGATTATGGTTACTTTGAGGGTTTGGGTTAGCGTTATGGGGTGGGTTAGTGGTAGGGTTACTCATTGGTTTTGTGTTATGGTTACAGGGGGAGGGGGGGCTTACAATTACAGCAGAGAATCCTGATTTAGGAAAGCTAAGTATGCAACAAAGTGTTTACATAAGGGGAGTTAGTAGTAGAGGAAGCCTTAGTATAAGGGTTATATAGAGGGTTGTTTTAGGTGTCACAGAGAAGGTTAGTTTTATGTTTAGGTCACATGGAGGGTTAGTGGGTTTACATAAATGGTTTGTGTTAGGGTTACAGGAGTTTTAGTGTAAGAGGAGTTTTAGTATAGGGCATTGCTCACTGAGTCTATAACTATCAGTGCCACTCTCTTAGCCCTTAATGCTAATGTAATGAAAGGTATTACCCTGACAAATACTAACCAACCACCCTCGGTGTTGTCATTTTGAGTCTCTTATTTGCCTGGAAAATTATCACCTGATCATTATTCTTAGTGAAGTGATCACTGTATTTATTTGTTTGTAGTCAATAAGATGCCTGTCTGTGCATCAATACAAAGGATTCCTTTCTCACTCTTCAAAAAGTAAAATTGACATTGGGATCTGCTTATTCAGTGGCGTAACAACCGTCATAGCGACCCAGGCGGCCGCTATGGGGCCCGGGCATGGGGGGGCCCGGCCAGGTTTGCCTGGGTCGCTATGGCATGTAAGGGTGCTGGCTGTCACTGACACAGCTCAGCAGCGGCCGCGGCGCATTTCCCCTCATAGCCCCTGCGGAGCTGTGTCAGTGACAGCCAGCCGCTGCGGCAGATGAGAGTGGTGTTCGGAAAGAAGGAGGAGGGGCCCGCCTAAGAGCAACCCCTGCCTCCTCTTACATCAATGGCCAGCAGGTGGGGCCAGTGATGTAAGAGGAGGTGGGGCCCGTCGATAGCAGAGGAGGCGGGGCCTGGGGACGGAACAGGAGTCGGGGCCCGGGGACGGAACAGGAGTCGGGGCCCGGCGACCACAGAGGCGGACAGCGCTGACAGGTAAGAGATCTCAGACCCTGCAGAGCCCACTATAGAGAGTCTATGGTGGGCTCTGCAGGGTCACTCACCGCTGGCACTCTGCAAGTGGCATAACCAGCAATCACGGGGCCCCATACAAAATTTTGCTATCAGGCCCTGTGATTTCTAGTTACGCCCCTGTGCTTATTAATGACCTCTGATAGCGTATGGAGCTAGAAACTCAAGTATAGACAGCTCACAGCTGCAATAAACCATTCAACCCACTGGTATCCACCTAATATGACAATATATATCTGAAGCTACACATGTTGCAGCTTTAGAAGTGAACTTATTGGATTCCATGAATTTTCATGTGCAGTGCCCATCCTTTCCGCATGCCTGAAAGCCCATGAATGATATTCAGAACTGTGCACACATAAGTATCTTCCATTATTTGTTGTTTGTGAAGTGACTGTTGGTTTGTTTTCTTCTTCCAGAGCCAGAACACTTACTTAGAAATTAGACAATGTACAAATAAACAAGAGCCCAGCAGAGATGGACTATCTGTGTCATCACACAGCTCCCGCAGATCATCTCATACTGCTCTCTCAGACTCTGCATGTATGTATACTGTTATAAAGGTCTTCAGAGGAACTCGAGATAACGATATGACTGTATGACCTTTTCATTGTAAACCATAATATTGTAAAAAAGCACGTTCAGCAATATGGTGGCTACAAAACAAATTTAAAACTATGTTTTGGATTTCCCAGTTGAAGCATATTACTGTGTTCAGTAAAGTAAGCTAAGGGATTTTGAAAACTTTTATGGTTACTTTGTTATTTTTTTTTTAGGTATTAAATGAATAGTAATATCAGGCACTGCTATAACAGCACCGCAACACATTCTGCAACAGTAGCAACAGTGCCCCACGAAAACAGTCCCATGACACAATACTTGGGCACCCTAATTAGGGTTTCATTCATCTGTTGTACGAATGAATGATACCCTAATCAGGATGTTTGGGGACTGGGTCATGGGACCATCTCCATTGGACACTGCTGCTGTTAAAGTATGTGATTGCAGAGGCTTTGCTAATATCGGTGAAGGTGCAGCTGAAGTATTAACAAAAGGTTAGTGAATGGCAGGTGCGGCAGCCAAGAGAAAGAAAATAAATGGGCAGCTCTGCTTATCAATATACTGTTCATGCCTTGTGAACTGTTGTCAAATAGACTGTGAGCAGATGAGCGTTGGCAGGAAAACATGATTGTGGAGCAATATGGATGCACATCTGTACCATGGGACTATGTGTATTAGGTGTCTCTCACAAGATACTACTTTAACATCTTATATAATTTAGTTTTGGGTGAGCATTATGTAGCAGTGATGATCTAAGCTTTTTTTTTTTTGCCTTCTTGGGTGGGTAGCTATTAAACTGAATAAGTTCTCCAATAATGTTGCAGCATGCATCCGTTTTAATGCAATTTCTGTGATAATTTTGATTGTTTTTTTTTTGGTAAATGATCATTAAAAGTATAAATAGAATGTGAACCAGAATGGTTGATAAGTTTAAACTAAAAAAAAAAAAAAACTCCACCCAGAGGGAAAATTCAGCCAGTATTGGGAATATTCAGACAGAGTAAGACAATTGGTGGAATGAGAAAGGGTAACAAAGCAGTATAGGAGGGGTGTTGTAGCTCCAGAATAATGTGTAGACACTGACCAAAGGTTCATTTTCCACTGTTTGATTGGTTTTCTCACTGGTGCTTGAAATTTTGTTTACTTTTACTGTACTGCACATTTTCATTTGTTGAAGACATTTATCTGTTCTTACCAACGGACATTTTCTATATCCTAGCAACTTCATCTATGAGACATACAGAGGCCAGCACACCCTCCAGACACTCCTTAAGCCAACAGGATAAACCCCAGATCAGAATGGCGCCCAGTGCAAACCAGGCATGTATTTATACAATGCACAAGTCACGATCCATGTTTGAAAAGTATTTCACAAAATAATAGTAGTTTTGTCCGTGAATCAAAAGTTAAAAGACCATTACATACAAGATGGGAGTTCAGACTTTTTGGCATTCACTTGCTGTATGCTTGTTCCAGGTCAGTGACTCACTAGCTAGTGATGCCAGAATCAAAACGTCAGGCCTGGAGCCTGAACCATCAGTTCATGGAGTTGATACCATATTTCCTTTTGCAGATTAAACAATTGATGAGAGAAACTTCTAGACAGTTACTGAGCTTCTTCTATAAATGCCAGTTTCCGGACTGCCATACTGATCTAAGCTTAAATAGTTTGAGTCACTAACCCAGAACAAGCATAGTATTTTTAGAAGGGGCCGCTCACAGTGGCTGTCTACATATTTCTTTCAATATAGCCTTTTTTTTTTTATTTACACAATATAGCTTGATCACTGACTGCTAATTGGACAGTAGTCTGAGTGTTAATTTGCAGAGGTTAACAGACCCAGAAAATATAGACTGCTTATGCGTATATGTAAATATAAATGGATTTCTTTATTGAAAACATAACTGGTTGTCCAATATATTCATGCACAGTTGGGCTTTAGGCTTGTTCACATTATGTCCAGACAAGAACAGTTTGTTCCCAGACCAAAAAAGCATCCCAATGTATCCCTATGGTATTTCTGGGCTCTGTTCACACAAGCGCAGTCCGTTCCAGACCAGACAGGCTGGTCTGGAATGCACTTGAATGCATGGAAATACATGAAAAATGGAAACGCACCTGTAAGCACCCATTTTAAGCTTAAAAAAACCCACTCCGGAACTTGGCAAAAACACTGTAAAATTTCAGCAAAAACGCACTGCGTTTGCAGATCTGCTCCAGACATGGTGTGAACCCAGCCTAAGATCACAACTGCCTTAAAAATGTTCATATTTTTAAATAAACTCCTCCTAGCACTTACAATTTACATATGTTTATTATTTTTTTCTACAAACACAATTTTAATAGCGATATACAGTAAGAATGATGAATGGCTATGACGCCTGTACTTATTCAGCACAGGGCATAATATATTTATACATTCCTGTGAATTGTAATCTCAGCTTTTAACACTTAGCAGAATATGTTTTTTTAATTGAACGTTATTCAGAACTATAACATGTTAGCTTGTTGGAAGTCAGTTTGCATGCTTGTTCTACTGAACATTACTCTAGAGGTTTTGTAATTCATGCATCTCGTACAAGCCAGAAAAGTAGAAATGTGCTTTTAACAACTTGGAGCACTTTATTTATCAGCCTTTTCGCACTTAAATCATTTTAACATCAACTTGTTAAACATTTTTAAACAGGAACTAGTTGTGGCTTGATATTATCCTTATGTAAAGTCACAATAACTTGGTGTATGTAGAGAAACACCCCCATTGTTGTCTCTTTCTTTAAAGTGACACTAAACTCAGAAGTTAAATCTTAAAAATGCATTCACATACCCCAACTATTAACAATACTGGAGGTTATTTGTGTATCACTCAGCTGTAGATCTTCAAATCTTCCCTGAATTGGTGCCGACACTGTCCTTCCTTCTGGAGGGTGGCTACTTTTGTTCCCCATGGTCCCTGTGTGTTGTAAAAGTAGCCACTGCTCCAAACGCACTCCCATGATAGACTACAATCTTATGTTTAGTTTACTAATTTGTATTGAGATTGTATTCCATCATGGGAGCTACTTTACAACACACACAGGGAACATGGGGAACAAGATCATTTAAGGTTCTACAGCTGAGTGATACACACATAAGCTATGTGTTTGTTAATAGTTAATGTACTGGGATACTTTTTAATAATTGGTGCTCACAATAAAATCACTTGGTATTTGCATGTGCTTTTATAAGGGCACATGAGCTTTACATTTTGCTCCATGTCCCTTTTCGATATGATGCTGCCTTATGTGATCAGCGCAGCTTTAGGACCAACATGGATCTGCACTGATCTCCATGAGGACTGATAGCAACTGGCTACTGAGGCCTGGGTAGGGACTCCCCTCCTATCCTGCTGGTCCCTAAAATAAAATATTTGCATGCAATAATCAGAACCCATCAAATGTAAATTTTGTAACTAAATGTGGCAAATGTATATATATATATATATATACACACACAATTTGAATATGACCTTATTTTATAAATGTCTAATAAACATAATATAACATAAGGCCACTCCTGGAGGTGGGAGTTATTCTATTGGCAGTGGATGGTGGAAGACTCAGAAGATCACTGTTAGCACTGTAGTAGAGCCAGCTACTATAGTGCTTTACAAGAGCCTTGTGGGCCAATCGGGTATGACATATGCAAACATACATTGGGCAAAGCTGGACCAGTTTAACTATGCATAAAAATGTATAATTGGAGTTCAGCTTTAACTGCTTTGTTGACATTTCATGTATCTGCTGCTAATTGGATACATTGATATACTAATAACATATTATTGGGTTTAATTTGTAGCCTGTAGCACCTGCTCAACCTCCACCTGAACATCTAAAACAACACCATGTTGTCCAACCAACTGTTTCACCGCAGCAAGCTATCTTGGTAAGTTTGAGTTAAATTTTTAAGACCGATTCTTCACAGCTTAGGCGGATTGTATATTAAAATGTTCCTTCATGTGCTGATCACTTTCTTCCCTTTCCTCCGTAGAAAGGGAGGGACTGGCGCACATTTGTGCAGAGACTGTTCAGCAAGACTGAACATCTCTGTACACAGTAATGAGTAAAACGCCTGTTATTGCCCCATAGGTGGTGCTCAAACTGGGCTGAAATTAGAGCACGTATGGCCATCAATGTCATTGCAGCATTGGCATAACTATAGATAACTTACCCTGAAAATGTACTATATGGCTTAGCAGAACAGGTAATAGGGACCCAGTATATAGAAAGGAAACACACCTAAAAGATTCAAGTTAGTAATAAATGCTACACATATGATATCTAACTAATCCAATACAGAGATTTCAGTAAGCAAAGCTCACAAACTCAACACAAATCCAGAAGGTAGCAGTAATCTTTATTGCAAGAATGGAAAGCCTGTTGTTCACTTTGGATCCCAGAAATCAGGAGTTGGAAGTCAAATCTTATTTCCTGTTTTTGGAACTGTTTTTTTTTACAATACAGTGGTCATTTCAGGCGCACGTATGTACATTGTGTATGACCAAAAAAATAGAAACCTCTGTTAGGTAGCATGGTGGACCAGCTACAATGCTGTGTCAATAAGGGTGCTGTAGTTCCCTAATGTTAAGCTGCACATACATAATTTCATCATAAGGTTGATAGGTGAATATATCTCTTCTACAGATGCATTTCTGTTAATCCAAATGGTATTAAAATGCACTTAAATCTAATATCATAGTGGTGCAGTTGATACCAGGGCCCATTAGACCAGGCAATATTTTTTACGTTATTAGCATTCTGATGCTAATGTTATCTAGCCCACTGCATATGCTTTTAGAAGTTTACTAAGGATTAGAGTGGCACCAGCTTGGCCACCTGCTATTACAGTTAAGGGAAGCATTGTGCTTTCTCTTTAGGCTGTTGTCAGCCACCCACTACATGGGATGTTACTGGTATTGTGGTTTTTTAAGTTGCCATTATAGTGCAGACGTTGGACAACACTGTTTTTCCACTATGGTCCAAATCTCATGCAGTGGATGTTTGTGCTTTCTTGTATTTGCGTCCACTCCTTGCACCACTTTCAGATTGCCACCTTTGAAATGCAACTTAATTTGCAATGTTGAAACATATATTCCTGGCATGACTTTCATAAGGTCTGTTAGATCCTGATTTATATGCCAACGCAAGAATAGTTATTATTTCATACATCAGTTTATATTTTTTTCTCCATTACACGTTTCACTTACATGGAACATTTGTGTTTACTTCACAGCCAGTGTATCACTACCCACCCCAATTGGGAATGGTGAACCAGCTAAAGGAGCAGCTGGAAGAGAGAACACGAATATTGCAAGCAGACATCAAAAATCAGCAAGAGGAATTGCATGTTATCAAAGAACAGCTACAGCTAGTGCAAGATTCCAATCTTCAGGTATCTAATATGACTGCAAGTGGGTTTCAGAAAGGTCTACAAAAAAAACGCAAACACTATTACAACCAGACTTTTAAATGGATATTTAGAAAGCATGTCTACCCAACAACAATTATTAATTTAGGGTGTGCAGAAGTAGCTTTGGTTGGTCATGTAACATAGCATGACAACAAACGCAGCATCTGAAAGCTTTGCTTCCTTTCTTTAGAACATAAGCAGACATGCAGTTCTAGGAGGTTTGATGACCCCAAAAACAAACTGAAAGGAATAGAGCTAAGGGGTGGGGATTCCCACCATTGGCCAGAGTCCATTAGCCATTTACCTAATCGATTTAATAATGATTGCAATGGTAATAATTCCCTTTCAGAACATAGCACCCTAAGACAAATCCCATTTTACAGATCCTAGGCTAGTTATAGACATACAGAGGCAATCTGGTTTGAAGGCACAATACACCTAAAAATGTATGTTGGAAAATGTATATTTCCTAAATACATATTGAGAGAAGCAACGCTATGCAGTGTTTCCCTTTAATAATTGGAAAGCTTAATAATAACCTCACCTTTTAATTTTTATTTTTGCTTGGTCTCCAGTATTGCTGCAGACACACATGTAGTATGGGCAGCACAGAGGCGTAATGGTTAGCGCTTCTGTCTGGTGGTCCCTGGTTCGAATCCCAGCTGGGTCACTATCTGCAAGGAGTTTGCATGTTCTCCCTGTGCTTGCGTGGGTTTCGTCCAGGTACTCCGGTTTCCTCCGCACTCCAAAGACATGCTGGTAGATTGATTGGCTCCTGTCTAAATTGGCCCTCGTATGTATACGAGATAGGGATCTTAGACTTATGTGAATGTGCATTATGTAAAGCGCTACGTAAAAATGTTGGCGCCATATAAATATCTGTACTGAATAAATAAATAGTATCTCAGTATCTCTCTCAGTTCTGGCTATAATATGCTGGGATTTGAGAGTGTTCAAGCTGGGTGACATGTGAGGTGACATAAAAAGCATGTCGAGATACTGTGGTAGCAATAGCATAACATGTTCAGGTAACCACCTATGTGGCACGTAAAAACTGCTTTCTAGCTTGTAGGTGTTGGTGCATGATGCAGGAGTGGGGAACCTGCTTTCTGCAAAGGGCCTTTTGGATATTTATGACATCATTCATGGGCCATACAAAATTATCAACTTAAACATTATCCACCAGTGGACACACCCCAGCAATTTCCCCCCAAGATACACACACACATCTTCCCAGCAAGCCAGCCACACTGACACAAAGTTGCGCGCACAATCGCAGCAGAGATAACCAGGGGGCAGTGCTGAGCTTACAGCCGACAAATCTGCTACAGGCGGATCACCCTTTCCAGTCTACAGCTTCACACTAGCAAGCGGTGGGGAGCAGACTCAGAGGACCAGACCAAATTATTTTGCAGGCCTTAAACAGTCCGCAGGCCGGACGTTCCACACCTGTTTGAGGGATTGGATAGCCCTGTGTTAGACAGCCAGACATACTGGGAGGTTAATTTAACCAAAAAGATTTTTTGGTGATAATATTGAACTTAAATCTATTTATTTTTAGAACATTGTCAGGTTCCAATCCCATAATAAGTCTCCAGTCAGCTTAGGCATACCCTACCCAGATGACCTATTCCAAAAGTCTCACACTGCCCTTTGTTTTGTCTACTGTGAAGATGTTGGTGCACCAACCAATCCCTCCTGGATTTAATAATAATATTCCGCAGACGGACCCAAGGAGGGTGTCCCGCCAGCAGAATGTGGTCTCCATGCAAGGCCTGGAAATGGGAAAGAGTTCAAAACGCTTTTGTGCATCTCAAATACCCACAAGTCACCAGTATGTGACCACCAGCCAGGTAATTAAAATTTTTCTGCATCTCATATACCCATCTCATATACCCACAAGTCACCAGTATGTAACCACCAGTCACATAATTAACATTTTTGCGCATCTAAAATATGCACCAGTATGTAACATCTAGACAGGTAATTAATGTTTTTGTGCATCTCAAATACCCATGAGTCACTGTAATATGACCACCAGTCAGGTAATTAACTAGTCACAGAAAATTCCAGAAAACAATTCACAATACAGTCCATCGTACTTATAATGCAGCTTATGCCCTGGATTGTGTTTAATTTGTGTGAAGCATTGTGTGAACTTGCAGTTAAAATGAAAATCTCTTATCTCCTTGTAACTTTAGATATTTGTAAGCGTCCTTTTCTATTTCAACTCCTGGGTTTATCAGCCTAAAAAGTTAAAGCTTATCAAAAGCTAACATATTTGTATATATATTGCAGCTCACCAGTTCCTAGATGTGGTTGCTGCATTAGATTATTTTTAAAGGCTTTTTTCCCTTTTATTTTCATTTAGTAATGCTGCTCACAATATGTTCTGTCTACACTCATTTTTCCATTGTATCTCTGGAAGGAGCCATGGTTGTCACACAGGCTGGGCTTCAAATATGTCTGCCTTTGTTCATCTCCATTACATGGTGTATTGAAGGGACTTATGGTTTATAAAAGAGAATTAACATTGTTTATGCCGTTTTTTAAGCTCACAGGAGTAGGGGGTGACAAGGACACTGCACTGGTTTGTCAAACTGATCAGTAGATCCTGAGATATGGGTAGCAAATATTAGGTTTTCCTGTAAAAGTCAAATTTGGTGGAGTCTGTTGCCAAGGCTTTCATATTGAATTGGAAGGGATTAGCCGAAACAAAACGTTTACAGGAAGTCGAGATTTGCATATAAATAAAGATACCTATATATCTCAAACTATTGATTGTTTTGACAGGAGGTAACTTCTGCTTGTGCATCTTTTTCATGCTCAGTTCAGTTACAGCCCAGGTCTTTTTTATGCCCAAATCAGTTACAGATTTAGCTGCCAAATATTTCTGCATTGGAGTTCCTAAAAACATAAGGAGCCAGTATGTGATTCAGATGGCTAGCAACCTTGCAAAATTAGAATATTAGTTTCTGCTGGGCCTGCCTTTAACTGTACTTACTGTAAATAGCTAAAACGTACTGACTGTTATCATGTTTCTCATTTTCCATGGGAAGAATACAACACACCAGCAACACTCGCAACCTCAGCAACTCCAGCATCCACAAGGACAACAACACCAGCAAGTGCAACAAGTACAGCAACACCAGCAAGTACCACAGCAGCTACAGCAACAATTGCAACAGCTGCAACCGCAGCATCATCACCAACAGCTACATAAACAGCAACACCAGCATCAGTTACAAAGGCATCAGCTGTTAATGAGAGGAAATCAGACACAGCAGACAGCAATGTCTTTACAGACTCATGGTAACATTGTGATGCCGCTGTATAACAACACAATGATGTTTTCACAAGCTCACCCTTCTACTGCCTCTTTGAGGATTTCCACTGAAACTGGGGAAAGACCACAGCCACCTGAATATGGCCAGGAAAGGCATCTGAGGTATAGTTGGTATAGTTGGTAAAGCTGTTAAAGCTGGGCTGTATTGTTAAGACTTGAGAATTGTTTATAAAGTAATTGTTTTTATAGTCTGTTTTAAAATTATGTTTTCTTGTCTGTCAAACAATATGTGCGATATTGCCGAGACTGACAACATGATATCTGTACTTGCGTTGGAAACTTATTTGGTGGAAATAATATCCTATAAAGTAAAATTTGGGACTGTTTTTTCTTTTAATTAGAAAAAGAAACAGGCATCAATGCATAGCTAAAGCAGAACCCATTAGCTCAGAATGCACCTACACAGTCACAGTCATGTGAAAGTAAGTGCACTCCATGAAAGTTGATTTTTCAACACATTTGAACAGGAACACAATAAATCTGAATTCAAATAGTGCCTACAGATAAAAGTGAATAATATATAAAACTGACATGATGTATTCATACTCATGAGTTAACAGAAGTGCAGATTTGTCACATGGAAAAAGTAATACACCCGCACATTTACAGCCATTTCCGATCCATGAAATTCGAATTCCGTATTCCACATTAAGTGCCAATGATAAGAACTTCATTAGGAAGTATGCAGGTAGAACCTGTCTTATTTAAACCTCCGGCATCTAGGACCTGGTGTTCCCTTTGCTATTGACATGCATGGTGTCATCATAAAAAGATCAATAATGCTCCCTAAGACCCTCTAAATGAAAGTTGTGGATGCCTACAGGTATGGCAATGGATTTAAAATGCCTGTCAAATTGTTTGGAATCACTTACAGTATCTCACAGAAGTAAATACACCTCTCACATTTTTGTAAATGTTTTATTATATCATTTCTCACTTTTGTTGACAGCAGTTTAGACATTAATGGCTGTGTGTTGAGTTATTTTGAGGAGACAGCAAATGTACACTGATATACAAGCTGTAAACTCACTACTTTACATTGTAGCAAAGTGTCATTTCTTCTGTGTCATCACATGAAATGATATAATAAAAAATATTTAGAAAAATGTGAGGGGTGTACTCACTTCTGTGAGATACTGTATTTTATTGTAAGGAAAATAATCTAAAAGTCATGTAGATTTCAAACAACTGCTAATTATTCCAGGACTGGCCGGTCCAGCAAATTTAAACTAAGAGCCAACCATTTAGTTCTAAAACAAGTCTTCAAGAACCCCAAAATGTAATCACAGGGTGTTCAGGTAGCTCTTGCAACAGTTAGGGTCAAAGTTCTTGCATCAGAAACAGATTGTACCAATTTAACCTACTTGAAAGGTGTGTTAAGAAAAAGCCTTTTCTGTTTAAAAATAACATATCAAGCAGGATTACAGTCTTCCATTGATCATATGGACAAAGACAAGTAGTTCTATTCACAAAAGGGTGAAGAGTTTGGAGAAGGAAGAAGAAGTGAACAATCTAGGACAACATAGCTGAACTGGAAAGTGAGCTGAATTGGAGAATTTTCCCAAATCAGCTATTCTGGCCTAGATTGTTCACTTCTCCAAACTCTTCACCCTTTGTGAATAAACCTGCAGGTCTTCTAAAACAGTGTGCTGAAGACTGATCAATTATACAGATAGAGTTGCTTAGTCACAGTAATAGTAGACATGTTTGCCATGAACCAAAGATAGTATTTCAGGAGAAGAAGCCCATAACAACTGTGAAACATGGTGGTGGAAGTATTATGGTTTGGGGAGCTTGCAGTCATTGGGTCAACTATACATTCTGCATCATATAAAAGTGTATTTGATGAAAATATGGGGCCATCTGTCGAAGAGTTGAAGCAAAAATGATTCTTTGAAAATGGTGATGATCCAAAGCACTTTAGCAAATCCACCAAAGAATGGCTCAGAATTTAGGGTTATGGGCTGGCCTAGTCAAAGTCCTGATTTAATTCCCATTGAAATTGTGTAAGGGTATTTTGAAACTGGCAATTCATGCAAGGAACCCCACAAATATCTTGCAGCCTGAACGAATTTTACATTAATAAGTGGTAAAGGAAATTTTCAATTAGTTAATGCCAGAGACTGGTAGACAGTTATGCAAAATGCCTACAAGAAGTAATTTCTGCTACAGGGGGTAGCTTTTGATGACAGGGTGTACTTACTTTTTCTACAGTACAACTTTATATCTATTGATATATTTGTTCAATAAATAATTGAAAATGAATTTATTTGTTTTGGTTTAATTCACGTACATCACCTTTATCTGTAGGCCTTGTTTGACTAAAGATCTAACATTTTTGTGTTCAGATATGGTGAAACATTCAACAATTTCCATGGGATGTACCTACTTTTTACATGACTGTATATGTCTTCCCTTAATCTTATAGCTGCAAGCATCCACCATGCATGCAGCTCAACATTATTACCCCTTTGAAAGTATGGTAATGGCACTTTCCAATCTGACTGGTGATTATTGGAATTAATGCAGCTGAATTTCTGCTTTCCCCTCTCCTCAAGGTGCCCATAGACCTTACAACCATCGCAAGGCTTTTGTATTGCGATGGTTGTAAGGTCATAAAAAAAACATACAATCTGCCCATCTTGGACAGGCAGATCGTACTTGCGATGACCGCAATGCTGAACGAGCAGTGTGCGCTTGCGCACACCGGCCGGTGCGGCAATTATCTTACGAGCATGCAACAAACCAGCCGAAAATCGTACGATTCTCGGCTGGTTTTCGAACATGTTCGTAAGACAAAAGTCATGCGACCATACAGTAGAAACGGTCGCACGCCTTCCGCACACCTTGCGATTATCGTACGATTGCGGGATTTCCCCGCGATTATCGTGCGATAATCGCAAGGAGTGTGGGCACCTTTAGCCTGTGATTGAAAATAAAAGAACAGCAGCTGAAATAATTGCTGAGCTCTTCTCTCTATTAAGAACAGCTGTCCATGTCAAAACTCCAGTTACATATAACAAATTTTTTTGTTGTTGTTTTTTTTTGACAGGTTTGTTCAGGAACCACAAATGCGGTCTCACTCCTTACAGATTCAACCAGTCACTTGCAGTACAGTGATAGCCTCTCATCCTCCTCCAATCTATACCCCCTCTGTCATGATCCCTCAGTCCAGGTTTACCCAACAACAGACCCACCCAGCAGTTCACCTACACCACTGCCAGCAGCAACAAGTCCAGCCACAACATCTGTATCTTCAGGTAAATTATTTTATACATGAACTGTTTTATTAAAGGAGAACAATGAGGTGAGTGAAAATCACTCAACTTCATAGTTGGAGTGTGACAATGAAACTGTCACATGTCGGCTCAATAGATCGGGAAGTGAGCGAACACATACCGTTGCTCGCTCATTTTCCGATCATCTCCCTGCAGAGAGCGGTGACTGTCGGTCACCGCTCGGATTCGCCCTCTCCCTGCTTCGATCGACTAGCGCTGATGGGGTGTGGGGGGAAGACAGGCACAGCTGGCTCTGTCCCTAGATAGGCAGAGCCAGCTGTCATTCACACAGCTGGGTGGATTTGGATAGTATTGTCAGGATCCGTCCCGGTTGCGTCAGTCTCAGTATACCGCAAGCTGTAGCTCGCTATATACTGAGCTTTGGGTCACGGGAGGATGCTAGTTTATGTCCTCCCGTGACCCTTAAGAGAACTATGGGGAAAAACACTTACCCCATAGTTCTCTTTTATGGGAACAAGAATACTGTGATTTTCCAAAAGTGGTTAGAGGGGCTTATTTATTAAAGGGGTACCTTTTCTTCAATAAACAAAATTAAACAACCAATGACAATCCGCCATCAAATTTAATTTTCTAAATACTCTAAACTAATAAAACTTGAAAAATGAAATGTGATTGGTTGCCATTTCTCACTGCACTCTGCAAATTGTTTACTGCTTTGTAATTTGAATTGAATTTGCCTGGAAAGGGATAACATTAATAGTGTTTTTGCTGCAAACTATAATAACCAATGTTCACGGTCAAACTTCATATTTCTAGTTTTCTAAAAAATAAAAGGTTGTTTAAAAGATTTAACAAACCTGGCCTTTGATTGGCCGGGTCACTTGAAATCCATCAGTTTTTCAGGTTTTTTTTTTATATGTGCATATTTAAATTGAAAAATTCCCCCATCCCCAGATATAAAATAGTAGAAGTCCACTGCTGCACCACTCCACTCTTGTCTGAGCTTGCTTACACCTGTTAATCAGGGTGTTGTTGTAATTAGCTAAGCAAGCAAGTAGGATAGGGAAACTTTAGTTGCTGTGGCGGTACAAGGAGTTTTTATACCTTTTTACATAGCATACAAATTTAAAAAAAAAATGATTTTGCCATTCAGACAACGAAGTCCTACTGCATGCATACTATATGCATATTATTCATGCCCATTTAAAAGCAACTGTACTGGATTTATGAAAACGTGTGCAAGAATATAGCTGCTGCTATCAACCAATCACATTTCAGCTTTCAACCACAGAAAGGAACCAGGCTTGATTGTTGTTTGTCGTAAAGATATTTTAATAAACCAAAAACAGTATGGGCTGACTTTATAAATGTTTCTTTTTTTATCTCAGATGCAGACTTCTGATTCAATGCAAACAGGCCAGCCTCAAAGAATTTACCAACAACCTCACATTCCTCAGCAGAACACCGTGAGCTATTTTCTGCATCCTCAACAGCAAAGTCAGTCTGGAAACATGCCTGACCTACCTGAGATGCAGCTCCCGTAGTGCACCAGGATGGAAGAAGAGCTCTTGCACCAGAGCTTTACAATAGTAATGCATACTGAAGGGCCTCAAGGAGCCCAATGTCTGTAGCACTCCCAGCCCTCTGAAGAAGGGCTCAGACCTAGAAGTGTTCACAAAAGCTCTAAGCTGAAAGATGATGGCCAAAACAGAATGGAGCAGGGACAAAAGCAAGAAACCCATTTTGATGATATGATAGATTTCCAGCTGCCTTTAAGTAGAACCAAGATTTTCTATGAGTTTTTATGTCATTTAAAAAAAACATACACCAAAGTGTTTGTCAGGGGCTATGTATCAATCTGCCAAAGCTCAGACAGTGGTCTGATATATAAAGATCCTTTTCCGATAAAACAAGTGTATTATTATAGGTACCGAGCTAATAACCCGTGTAAGCTATGAATGGTGTAGCACAGTGCATTATGGGTCATGGTTGTTTGATATTTATATGGTTTAAATAACCTCAGGCACTATTGTTTGTTTTACTGTAGATGACCATATTGTTTGAAAGTTGGAGATAAATGTACTTCTAAGTGGTGTTAAATCCATTGTTAAGGTAAAACTGTGGCCACTACTTAGATATAAAACTTCCACTTACAGTCAATAGCAAATACAGTCAATAGCAAATACATCTGCGGGTCTGCACATTGGCTTCTTTTCCTTGTACTATATAATGCTTAGGGGGCCCCAAACACTAGACTGCTCTGTACCATGGTCACCCGTGCCGGCCTGCCTCACTATTAGCCTATCATGGGGATAGGTGGCCGCACTGAGTAGTAAGGAAGCGGACAAAAGCTGGTGATCACAAAAGCTGCCTGTCTTTTGCATATCAGAGTGCCTCCATGTTCAAGACTTTCAGGGTCCCCTACAAAGAAAGGATGCCACCTTGAAGTGTCTGCTGTTGACTACAAGTGGCAGCCTAACATTTTAATAGTGGACACGTTTACTGAATATCATTTGATTTTAATGCCAGAATATATTTAATATAAGTAAGCATAGATGCAAATGGTAACTAAGGAAGGAACCAGCATGGTGCTAGTTAAGTGAAAGTTCTAGTGCTGTGATTAGCTGGACACTGGACACATATTGAGTACTCATGCGACCTGCCAGTACGAGCAACTATCTCTATGAATCCTGCCTGCCTGATGGATAAACAGTCTATTTTGGGGGCAAATTCAACCACATACATCACTTTTTATGCTGAAATCACAAGGACAGTACCCACTTTTGAAGCATCCCAGTGCATAAAAATGATTTTGTTCTTTTGATCATGGAACAGGTATGACAAATATGCACTTAATGCACGCATTTTATTGAGTAAGCCTGCAAATATCTAAGTATCTCAGGTCATACAGTAAAGCTGGCCATAGACTATGCATATTTTGGCCGTTCTTGATGATCCTGCCGGCACACGTTTGACTGGCATTCCTTGATCAGATGATCGAAGGAGCGAGTTGGAAAATCTTCGCACAAACAGAGCCAGCAGTCAATGAGCTGCTGGCTGTGTTCGGGTATTCTGGCGGTCGGTGGCTGCCCTCAGAATACATTGAAGATAGGAGGACATTCTTCGATCAACACTCGTAATAAGCATTGATGGAGGACTCTGTTATATATTTTCTTTAATCAGCCCACGGATTGTATGTGCAGTGCATGGGCAGCCAAATCAGATGGAGTCATTTAAGCTCGACTTGGGGTCGGGAATTAATATTTACATGTCTGAGTTTAAAACCTTCTTATGTATAATATTTTGCTTGCATAGACAGTTGTTCAGCCAAGGTGTATTATTGCTGTAATAACATTCAGTGAAAAAACAAAACAAGCATGAGATTTCAGATATAGATGGAGTGTACTGGCTTAGTAGTCATGGTTGGATTCTTATATCCCTTGGGGAACAGTGATGAGATCTCTTGCAATAGCTGCTTGTTCTTTTCCAGCCCACCAAGGTGTTATGAGTGTTACCATCTAGCTTTTTACAATGTTTCCCTTGCTGCCTATATGCTATGTTTTTTTGGTAAAATAGTGCAAATACCAAAGTTCAAGCTGCTAATAAACAATGATCATCAAAGTGTGATTTCCAACTGAGAAAATGATGTGGTGTACACAAATGCTTGTCAGCCTTTGCCAATATCGGAGATCGCATGTAGCAAGCACTTTCAATGTGTCCAGTGATGACTGCAAAAGATCACAGTCAAAGCAGCTTACAGAGTGACATATGTAATGTTTTGTGTTATAAGTATATATTTATTATTGATATTTCCTATTGTACTATTCTCCCATGATTCCACAGCCATTTTAGTCTACAGAAAAGTATATGTTCAATTCATGTAGCCACATATGGCTCAGATTTTGGCTGATTCCTGTCCCTGTCCCTGTCCCTGTCGATTCGACTATCTTGAAATGAATAATTAAAGGAGCTGGCTAGACAACTATCAGCTAAACAGCTTCTGCATTGAATCGGATGCAGTCACTGTTTGTTCGTACGATCTAGCAAAGTTTTCAAACATGCTTGACCGCCAAAAGTTGTACAATTGTACAGTACTATCGGTCGGGCACTCTATTCACACGTTACGATTGTCGTACGAAAAGTCGATCGCCTACGATTATCGTACGATAATCGTAAGGTGTATGGGCACCTTTATTATGCCATACGAAACGGAGGATTAGTTTTTGCATGTGGGTAAAAAAAGAGGTGGGGGGAATTATGGGAAGAGTTCGAAAGATATAGAGTATTTTGGGAAGGATTAACATTTTAAATGCTGCTACTCTACCACATAGAAGGTAAAGGTAAGGTAAAATTTGGAGAGGGAGGCCAGGTCTTTAGGTATGGTTTGGAGAAGCGGTTTGTAGTTGTAGTCATATAGTTTCATTGATGAGGCTGGTAGTTGAATGCCAAGATAAGTGATGGATGAATTCGCCCAAGCATAGGGGTAAGCTGCTTGTAAAGTTAGTTGTAGAGAGGGGGAAATATTGAGACCTAGGAGGTACTGTTTGTGTATTTAAACAGCTAGGGGATACCAGCTGTCTGAATACAATAGCTGACTTGTGGAGATTCCTCCTTCCACGCTGTATAGGGTGGATGGAGGGATCGATTGGATTTCTCATGTTCAGTTAGCAGGCTATACGAGAGAAGTCTATGCCTGTATGGTTAGTTTTAGCTCCACTTGCTTTTAATAAGAGTTGATATAAGCAGTATTGCTTATGGGCATACATACCGAACCAAATACATGTGATCAGTAATGGCAAACCTACATGTGAAATTTTAAAGTAAACCAGTAATGAGAGGAATATGAGGGAAGCCATTGTTGACCTCTTTCTAAGAATTCCAATTGCCTGGCTGTCTTTGGCTTCAATACTTTGAGTCACTGACCTGAACCATGTATATGATTTAGAAAGTCAGAACCATCCATCTACATGACTCAGAAAGTACTGAAGCAATTTGATTAGCATGTCAAGCAGGCAACTATCATTTTCAGAAATAAAGGGCAGCAATGGCTTCTTACATATTCTCTTAGCCTAGGTTCACACTAGTGCTGTTGCATAATTATGCATTTTTAACGCATCTTTGTAGCTCATTTATGCATTTTTCTTTTGGCCAATAACAAGCCATATCTGCTGTGACATCATCAGGTATTGTCATCCTATGAGAAGACTTTCAGCACACAAAAAAAAAAGCATGGATATGTGCTTTTGTTCATGCATGCCCATTGTCTGTGGGGCCAAAAACGCACTAGGTAGTACCAAAAGAAGCACCTGCACCTTTTAAAAAAAAAATCACACTGCACCATTGGGCATCGACGTAAACCGGGACCATTAAGGAATGGTAGAATAATGTGCTTTCCATTGTTGTGCATTGTAGTGTGTAGCCAATTGCAAGACAAATGCACTTGTGTGAACAGGGCCTTAAACCCTTGCCTAAACTGAAATCTCGTAGTTGCTAAAAAGGTCAACTGGAACCTAATTGATCCTGTCAGCATAGAAATATGGAAGTTACCCTTTCTGCCTTGTTTCTGGCTGCAAATGTTCTAGATCGGTCATCCTTTCTTTCTTGCACTGCTCTATAAGTTATGGATTTTTAAACAAGCATATCAGGTGTTAAGGTGCCCATACACTGCACGATTATCGTACGATAATCGTATGCGATCGGTTTTTCGTACGATAATCGAGCAGTGTGAACGGAGACGTGCGAACGTTTCTACTGTACGGTCGCACGTCTTCTGTCGAACCAGCATGTTCAAAAACCAGCCGGGAATCGTACGATTCTCGGCTGGTTAGAACGGTGCTCGGAAGACAAATGCCGAACGGGCCGGTGTGCGCACGCGCACACTGCCCGTTCAGCATTGCGGTCATCGGAAGCCCGCCCCTCAGGGGGGCGGGCTTGCGATGATCGAGAGTGCGATCTGCCTGCCCAAGATAGGCAGATCGTACGTTTTTTTAATCCCTGTACAACCATCGCAAGACTAAAGTCTTGCGATGGTTGTAGAGTGTATGGCCACATTTAGTGATTCATTGATCCAGATAAAACATCGGGAGTGGCAAGGATAAGGATCACAATCCTGGAGCAAGCAACTTCAAAAGCAAGTCAAAAATTGCATTATATATATAGTGGAGTCCTCTTTACATTCCTTTTCCCTTGTTTTTTTTTTAAACTCTCAAATGCTCACTAGCAACTAAATCTCATTGGCGAGCCCTTACAGACATATGGAAAAGCCAGTTCATGAATGCTAGAAAAGGCAGCTTGGGATGTGTCAGATTGTAGGCATAGATATGTGAACATTAGTTCAGTGCCTCATACACAACCCGCTAAAGTACTGGGGACTGAGCAAATGAACAATTCAAGCTGGCAGTGTGCAATACATGGGTCACTTTTACCTATCACTTTATTATTTATGAACCCTGTATAACTGTTATTTATGAGTCATGTATCCTTTCTGTAATTGGCCAACTTGTGTTGTTTTGTGCCCTAGCTGCCTGGTCAGTTATAGATTACCAAATGCCAGATTTATGTCCGTGTGTTTGATATGTATCCTATGGCATAAAAATGTCAGACACTGATCTTAACTTTTGTCAGTTTAATTGTAAGGGCTATTCAGCAGGGAATGAAAAAGGCCATTCCACACAAAGCCAGTGTTTCAGTTTTAAGTGATTAATGGCAACCTGAATCACATACTGGGTTGTTAGGTGTTTAATGATTCCAGCCTTATGAGATCCCCACCACAATAGTCTGTTTTGCACATTGCTGTGACCATTGCAAGTCAAATGATGGTGTCATCCTCCTCCAGAATAAACAAGATGAAGGGGATGAAAGGAAATGCAAACTATTCTTGGCTCACCTTGTCACCAGAAACAACCAGTGGATGATTCAGCTCACTGTTGCCCATTTAGAATGGAAATATCTGTTTTAGTTGGCGTTGGCCTTTAAGCACTTTCTTCAATTTAAGGTAATGGTGGACTGGTTCAAGCAACATCCATCATTTATAAAGTGCCCGAAATCAAAGATAATATATTTATTTTAGCATTCAAATACATTTATCTGTATATAT